AAAATACAAAACACACGAAAAACCTACTCAATAGAGTAACTTGAGTAAATGTATTTCGTTACTTTCCACCTCTGACTATCATTAGTATTGGGTTTATAACAATTAAAGGGGACGTTTAAGGCAAAGTTTACTTTCTGCATGTTTCTTTTACTTCTGTTTGGGTCTCTACTGCCTCTAAAAATGGTTCAAACTATGAAAAAGGGAAATCAGAAAACCAGCCCTTTCAAAAAAACCTGTAGGTTATTATGTTGCAATCAGGTCACACTGCTTAGCAGCTCCAGCTTAGCCAAGCCCCTCACGCACGTGGCAACCCAATCGGAGCTCCAAGCACCTTTAGTCACCTGGTTTTAACGCTGTATTTATTTATTTGTCAAAATAAATAAAATCGGACGCTATGCTGTCTTGTTTTGCCGCTGGCCCCATTGAAAAACATATGAAATTGGACAATGTTCCACTGTTTGAAGAGCTTGTCTTTTTTCTTTTACCCTTTGTTTACTTATAATTGAAAGTATTAATGTGTTTGCTTTTATTTTTATTTACTAATTTGTTTCTTCTTGTATTACATGTTTTCTTTGTTAATTTTTTATTGTGAATAATTTAAATTTCTTTATTTTCTTATGATCTCTTGTCTTTCCAGGGACCGAGTAGTAGGCCTGAAATCATGTTTTTAAAAGAAATGTTTCAATGAAATTATTTGATAAGATATTAATAAGTCTATTCTGTGTTCTGGTGCATCTTGTTTCAAAAGTTCCCCCCTTTGGGATCACACCCAACAAACAGATTTTAACACTTTCCCAAACTGCTTAGTCATATTCAGATTCTTCTGTTGTCAGCTGTCTCCATTTTCCCTTCAAAACCTCTCAACTGGCTGAAAAATCCCCGCAGCATGTTGCTGCCACCATCATACTTCAAAATGGTTTATTAGTCACTAAATATATGACTTTTATGGGTGGTCAGTTGCACAGGACTTTATTTAGGAGTATCAGAGTGAAATGAGCTTAAAATAAGTGGATGGAAAACATTTCTGTGACTGTTGTACGTCTGCACTGCACGGATGATGCGTCTCGACTACACACTAATGGTTAGCTGATCCCTGAGCACTCTCTAAACTAGAGAGTACTCAGGGACTTCCTCTGCTCTCTGAATCATCCGTCTGACTGCTCCCACAAACAACAAAGAGCAATTTAGGAAAGAAACTCAGTGGCATTTGAATATAAGCCCTCGCAGTCAACTACAAGCACAAACTTTCATGGTGGTCTGCGTAAGAGGGGTGTAAATCCCAAAGGACCGGATCTAGGTCTGTCCTGTTACTGCTGCTTTGATGAATCATTCAGTTTGCAAATAATTTGAAAAGCTCTTTGCTTGGCGGGGAACAACTGCACCCCATTTACACATCCTGAGCTGCCACCGGTGTTAGAACAATGTAGGACGTGTGATGCACCAAGTGAGAACGTCAGCAGTGAGCTGTCTTGAACTCCTCTTGATCCTGAAATATTCACCATCGATGACACGGTACAAGATTTGAAAAGATGAAAGTAGTGGAGAAAAGCTGGAGGATCTGAAGGAGTTTAAATCTGGAATTCTGACTAAGAAAGATGCTGCTGCTGAAGCAGAGTGGGAAACCATAGAAACACAGGATTCACAACAGATGTACTACCTTTAGCTGGATCTTTATGACAAAAGGAAAGCTCTGTCTTACTTATGTGGCGAATGTTTCAGCCAACATACTATGTAAAATGCACCATGCTGCTTACCTCCACAAACAGAAAACAGGGAACGATAGAGCTGCTGCTCTTCACACCAGGTTTCTCCTCCAGCGCCATCTCCTTCTGTTCCTTTGACTCAGCCTTGCTTTCACTTCCCTTAACCTGAGAAGAGAGAAAAAAAAAAAAAAGATTTTCAGGAAAACATACAAACTGATCATAAATCTATCCGTGATAAAATCTGGATAGTTTGCTTTTATCACCACTTAGTTGTTTTTCATGGAATCTAATCAAAGCATCTCAATTTTATTTTATTTTCAATTATACAGATGCCGAATATTTCTATTCTCATTTTTATGGGGGGGTTCTTTTATTCTTTTATTTATTTACAACAAGGAACTATAACAATAACAAAAAAAAAATCAATATATGTTTAAATTTTTGAAAAATTAAATGGAAAATTACTGCTTATAGTGGTTGGTGTATAAGAGAGAAAACAATTCAGCTAAATGTGTAGAAATGCAACAATATTAATTCTGCACTACTGCACAACTTTTGCACCAGTTTTAATGCAGACTGTTTACTGAACAAAATGTCTTCATGTTATCTCGCTCACATTGATGCTCCTCAAAGGGATGCTACCAAATGACATTTAGTGACGACAATAAAGATTCTCTTTATTTTCTTGAAGTTGAGTAACTTTATGGAACACTAATGCAAAGTTCTACTCAAAAGCGTTTGAAAACAAAGGTTAGTTGAGGGATTCACAGCAACGTTAAAAAGTTCAAAGCAATTATTTAGTTGTGGTAGTAACTAAGTTATAAAGGAAAAATGGAATTTTCCACCGGAGCATACACCTAGTAAAATTCCTGTTTGTTGTCATTTAATTCTCTCAGGTTGTAGGAGTGAACTACATTTGGAGGTCTTACTAACATCTTTATCTTTTACCCATTCATCAAACACTTAATGCGCATTGAAGCCAACTCACTCTGTCTAACTCGAACACTGATCTGCTGCACTGAGCATTAAAAGCTGCAAAATATTTGCTGCAAAGATCATCATCAAATCATCAAAGATCATCATCAAATCATCAAAGATCATCAAAAATCTAAAGTTATGTATACGAAAAAAATGGCTCATGTATTTTAACAAGTTTGAGTTTAACTTGTTTTTTTTTTATGTTATTTCAAATATAGGTTTTATTAGCACAGATTTCAACTATGTTACTTCCATATTTGAGGAAGAAGCTGTCATTATGTTGGTGTACAAGCAGTCATTTTAAATATTGTCTTAAAAGATTAAGGTAATTTGAAAACAAGAAAAAAAACTGACACTATGAGTGATAACTGAATGATAAATGATCTCCCAAGACAAGATATGACTTATATAAAGTGGTATTTTGATGGACAAATTTTTGCTTTTTACCTCTATTTTAAAGACCAGGGGCAAACTGTAGTCTACGATTCATGTGTTTGAGTTAATGAGACTGCAATAAAATTTTAAAAAAGCATCATAAAACTTAAAAAGCTCTCAGGTAACAAAGAGAGATGTGGTTTTCTAGCCATTTGCTAATAACTGTAAATCATATTTTTATCTGGCAATTAATAAAAGACATGGAAAGAAAAAGTCTCCACACTGTAAAGAGACATTTAAGGGAACTACATTGAGTTTTTTTTTGTTTTTTTTTACAGTTTATAACCTTGGTATTGTTCAAAACTAAGCCAAATCATTTAGTTGTTCATAGAAAGATTGTTTATGAGAACTAATAAATTATTGACAGGAATATTAGAGCAGAGTTTAATGATGAAAAATATAAACGATAAATTATGTGACATTGAAAATGGAAAGAGAAAAAAGGCAGCAAGAATATGGATGTCAAACGGAGGAGAACAGACATTGCAATAGAGCAGAGGTCACAGATTATTATGTTGATTATTATTACAGATTATTATTATGCAGGCCCACCTGCTTTTAAAACATTTATAAATTACTGCATGTTAGCTGACGTCAGTGTCTAATTTCACTTGCACTGCTTCTCCTGTTAATACGGTAAAGCCGTCCGGTGCGTCTGGCACCAGGCTACATGTGATCCAAGTTAACTAATGAGCTGCTGTCAGTCTGGGTTGCTGCTGCTGCTACTTTTAGACACAGCAGGCAAACCTGTGGCAAGCCGGGCGATGGAAGGAGAAGAAGATGAGAAAAGGTGAAAGAAAGTGTGGACTGCTGGAAGAACTGTGGTGAACTGGTGAAAGAAAAGCGAAATGGTGCTCAAAGATGACCCTCAACATTTAGAGTATGTTTGGCTCAACCTGCTGCTGTGAAGCAGGATTCTCCACCATGAACAGAATCAAAAATAAATAATTATCCAGGCTCAAAATGAGCACCTTGATATGTGCTTTAGAATGGCTTTGTCTCCATTTAAACCCAGGTTTAAAGCCTTGAAGGCCGCCTAAAGCCCACTGCTCTCATTAAGCCAGAAAAAACAAACAAAAAAAAATTACAAATGGTCAGTTTAGGTGTTTTATAAAATATGTGAATCAGGAAATTGTCTATATACCAAACTGAACGATGGATGCATAAACATCTCATTTTATTTCAGTGTTAAATTGTGTCTCAGGACCTTTACTGGTTGTTGATTTTCTTTATTTGGACCACGCTGATTTTTAATTGGTGACCCCTGCAATAGAAGAATAAATGAACTATGACCAGAGAGCTTATATACATGGGTGGAGAAATGTAAGGCAGAGCCTGCCTCAATAAGATGGAGATAAGTGAACGCTGATTGATCTGAGGGAGGCGATAAATTAGTAGGAGCAGACAGAGAGGGACACATGGAATAAGTAAACATGAATCCACAGAAGGAATTAACTAACATAGGTGCAACTAAAGACCGTAAACAACAGAGAGAAATTAGAGCGCTATCAAAAAAACTTAAACAGCTAAAGATCATAATAACACACTGCTGGTACTGAATGAAAAGTTTGCTTCATGTGAATTAGACAGAATAAATGTAAAATTAAAAGATTTATAACTGTCTAATTGTTTTAAATTTTTAGCTGCACTTATGATATCCAAATTAGTCTTATGATGTCCAAGCAAATTGTTTGGTTCTTCTTTGCTGAATGTTAATGCACATTTCCTCATGTGAACAATTTTAATGAGATTATAAGAAAATTCCTAGAATGCAAAAAAATATCTATAGTGTGATGAAACTAAGTATTTGAACAACCTGCTCTTTTAAAAGTTCTGCCACTTAGAAATCATGGAGGGGACTGAAATTGTCATCGTAGGTGCATGTCCACTGTGAGAGACATAATCTAAATAAAATGTATGATTTTTTTCAACTATTTATTTGTATGATACAGCTGCAAATAAGTATTTGAACACCCATCTGTCAGCAAGAATTCTGACCCTCAAATACCTGTTAGTCTGGCTTAAAAATGTCCATTTCCACTCATTTATTATCCTAAATCAGATGCACCTGTTTGAGGTCGTTAGCTGCATAAAGACACGTGGGCTTTATGCAGCAAAGACATTATTCTTCTTCTTCCAAACATGGTTAGTGGAATTATTAATTAAAAAGTTCTATTTTGGTATCTGACAACATGACTTTCTCCCATGAATTCTCTGGATCATCCAAACGGTCATTTGCAAACTTAAGACGGGCCTTGATATGAGCTGTTTTAAGCAGGGGGAGTCTTTCGTGCCATAAATGATTTCAAATCTTTATCTCTTCATGTATTACCAGCAGTAACCTTGGAAACGGTGGACCCAGCTCTTTTCAGGTCATTGACCAGTTCTTGCCTTTCTTGGGATCATTTAGACCCCAAAAGTTGAGATAATGCATGAAGCCACAGCCTGAAGGAGATTAACAGTCATGTTTAGCTTCTTCCATTTTCTAATGATTGCTCCAACAGCGGACCTTTTATCTCCAAGCTGCTTGACAATTTCCCCATAGCCCTTTCCAGCCTTGTGGAAGTATATAATTCAGTCTCTAGTGTCTTTGGACTTAGGTCTTCGGTCTTGGCCTTCTTAGTAGTTGGATTCTAACTGAATGTATGGGGTGGACAGGTGTCTTAATACAGCTAATGACCTCAAACAGGTGCCTCTAATTTCTAATAAATGGAGTTGAGGTGGACATCTTGAAGGCAGAATAACAATGTCTTTGTGGGTCAGAATTCTATCTGAAAGACCAATTCTTATTTGCAGTTGTATCATGCAAATAAATGATAATAAATGCATAACATTTTTTTTAGATTATGTCTCTCACAGTGGACATCCACCTACGATGACAATTTCAGACCCCTCAAATACTTATTTTTGAACACTTTTTTAAAATATTACTCAAGCTAGCCTCTCTTGAGTAATATTTTCAAAGATCATAGTGATTTGTGTTGGAATTATACTCCCAGAAATTTCAGCATCAGTAATGAGAATGAAGAATCCACACATAATTCCATTAAAGGCCAGTACACACTGCCAAGAACAAGCACTGTGTGATTACACTATGCCAGAAATTGTAAAGCTAACCACTACGAGTGTGTGCTGGAGTGTTTTACTCCAAGAATCCCTCTCTGCCGGAGGAAAATATGAGCCTGAGGGATAAATAAAACATAAATCCAGGCTCTATCAGAACGTCACAATGTGCCAAGTAGAACAGCTTTGATGGTTATCTGATTGAAGTCATGTCCCTGCACATGCACAGCCGTGGATGCGATACTTGTCCCCTTCCAAAGAAAGAGAAAAGAATTCAGTAGCTGTCACTATTAGCAGGCAGAAAACAACAGGTGAGGAAAACCAAGAGAGACAGTAGAGGAGATAGTGAAACAGAGGAGAAAATGGCTGCTGTCTCCTCGCCTCAAGAGAACAATTGAGATGTTGCTTTTCGTTTCATTGGCTCGCTGTGAGGCAGGATGGAGGAACTCTCCCACACTTCGGCCCATCAGAGAGCCTGTGTTGTCAGGTTTCCCAAAGGTCTAATTATTTTTTGAAGGAAAGGCTCGAGTGGCCTAAGATGAAACAGATAAGAGTCTGGTGATTAATACCTGCTAAGCAGAACGTTAAGCCTTAGATTATTTCTCCAAAAAGGTGGGATTATCAAAGTTTAAGTGATACTCCTCTGAGATATATGCAGGCTGCTGATCTGACTTGGTTAATATGAGTGA